AGATCTCAGCCTCCTGAGTAGCTAGGATTACAGGCATGAGCCACTGGCGCCCAGCTAGGCTTGTTTGTTTTATTCATAGCAAATACCTTCCAGAAACAAGCACCATTTTTGGTATGTTTCTTTTGTAAACTAGTAAGGACAGATTCTGTCCTATGACTCGATTATTCTGAGTTTTCATAAAGAAGGCATGAGACTTTTCTAAATAGATTATTTGGCATTAGAATTAGTTTACAAACTCACACACACTAGAGAAACTTAAAGCCCTACCAGGAGCATGTGGCTCCCTGGCTGTCTGAGCACTCTTGTAACTCTTGCAATGTGTTCAATGGCTTCCTTGAAAAACACCATGGGGTGAGAGACCTGTCAAGAGAGATGAGACAATCTTATGGAAGAATCAGATGTTTCCCCGTGGTCCTAGAGGTGAGGTTGGTGTGCCCCATGGTCTGCACCTTGGGGCACAGGAGTAAACTATAACTGAGCAGCTGGGACCCTGTACACTCAGTGGTTTGGCCAGTGTTTGGGAAGAGCACATTTTCACAGTGAGGGCTGCCCCTTGGCTCACACTGTGGCGAGCAAGCTGGGCAGTGGAGAAGAAGAGCATCTGGCCTTGGCCATCTTGCCAGCGGTGGAGGATGGGAGCAAGGCATTTCTCAGGTGTCTGTGCTTTGGTGGCCTTTTGCCTTTCAAGCACACTTTGCCCATAATAAGGGAACCATGTAGAGATGTTTCCCTTTGTTACCTAGGCCCTATGTCACCGTCTTGCGTTTCCTGATTTCACCAACGCCATTCATTCAGCTCCCACAGCCTGTGTGTACTGACTGCAAAAGTGTATGTGCTCAGACAACACGATGAAAACAATGTGAAACTGTCCAGCTACCGTTTGCTTTGAATCTGAGGACATGCTTTCCCCTCTTCCTCACACACCTCGCCCTTACAATTCTGGGTAAGTAAATACGAGTGTACCTGAAGAACACATCCACACACACAGCACTATGTGCGTTTCTGTATGTCTTTACCTCCAAAGGCGTAGAACTTAACTTCATTTGGAAATCATTAAGCACACTGGCAAGTTTCCCATAGTCATTGGTATTCTGATAGGCCTTTTTTCTATGAGGCTTGTTGATATCCAAGAAGTCCACGAATACAGTTGAGTCATCCACTAGCTTTTGGTAATTCCACTCAGTCTGCGGTAAAATAGGAACCCAATGGTCATTTACTTCCTAAGACTCAAGTTCCACCATGCTGGTGCAGTTACACTTCTCACCCCGTGTTGGAGAAGGGCCTGTGGCAGGGGCTGGAGGACTGGGCTCTTCAGTCCCTGTGCTGTGGACTACTTTTGGTCGTGAAGCCTCTAGAAACCTCTCAGAATAACTTTCTTTTAAAATGCATTTTTTTTAATTAGGATGCAGCAGTGTCTGCACATGTCTACAGAGTGCTCTAATCAATCTCCCTCCTCCCCTCCCCACATCCCCCATCCCCTCACGGTGCTCCAGTGCAGCTGGGATTCCTGGGTTGTTCTCTGAGATGGAGAGCCTCCGTGTTTCTGCCTCCCAGTTAGCTAGGGTTAAAGGTTTGAGCCACGGAGCCTGGCCTAGCCAAGCCTCCGGCGATAGCTGGGAGTGGCTGGAAGGAGGGGTGTCAGGTGTAAGGGAAGCGGTGGTGCCTAGAATCAAGGGCCCAGCCTGGATAGAGTCGGGGGAGTTGGGCAGGGAGTCTTGATGGTGGAGAAGCTGCATGGATGGACATGCACATGTTGAGCATGAAATGCCCAGAGTAACCAAGTAATGCGACACAGATCTAGAGGCCAGACTAAGGTCTGTCTCTGAAATGCAGGTTTGGGTTCATTGAACTGTCTGCCTGCACAAGAAAGTAGATACAACATGTAGCTTACAGCTACCAAAGATGAACTATGTGCCAGAAGTTAGTCTAACTGTTCTATTTAAGCTGGTGCTATTCATTCTCGCCTAGTCCTACAAGGCAGAGACAAGAAAACCAAGACAGGAGGGGTCCCTTTCCCAAGTGCACAGAGCACCTGAAAGGGGGCTTTCAACACAGGCAGGGCCCTGGCTCTGGCCATTTGGGAGGAAGGGTGAGACCAGCAGAGCGGTGGGCGACGTGACTGAGATGTGAGGCCACGCGGGAGGGCTGGGGGGACGGCGCGCGGGAGGCGGAGGGGGCGGAGGGGCGCCAGGGTGGAGGCTAACAGATGTGGCAGGGACGATTACATCGTGGTGAAAATGGCATGAGCATCTTAAAGTTTTCAGAAAGATGCGTTTCTTTGGTGGTAACGAGGTCTGAATTTGGCTATTGTGCTTGTGTATGGTTTGAGCCACACCCTCAGTCCATATGTGTGTGTGTACACACCTACACACCCACAGGCAGATTCTCACATCACTTGCGTGTGGTGTACAATGTGTCTGTGGCCACCTTTCTTTCCATGCATGACGTTTATAGTCTTAGAATTCTTTTTTCGCTCTTATCAAGTGCAGTTGTGTTCTATAAACTGTTCTGTTTCTCGGAGTTCTATGACTAGGGTAGGAGGAGGTAGCACTAGCAAAGAGGGGACGTGGGGCCAGAGGACTGCTGGCTGGAGGGACGCATCTCCCAGCTCTCTCAGCGAGAGGTCAGACACAGGCCCCGCAGTGGCCTGCTCAGACGCCGGCCTTCCTGTGAGTCCGTTTGCTGAGATCCTTGTCTCTGCAACCACCCTGAAAGACAGCAGCGGGACTAAAACTCCAGGGGCCGAGGGGGCAGAGTCTCAGGAGGCGCCCGGGGCAGTCCTCAGTCCTGGGGGACAACGGGCCATTGTGGGCTCCAGAGAGGCAGAAGTGCCCACAAAGGCATCACCCCATCACCTCCACAGTTCTTTACATACACTCCCAGAATTTTTCAAGTCAACAGTGGAATTATTCATAAGAAAAGTTGCTTTAACAGAAGGAGCCCCACTGCATTGTTGGTGGGAGCTTGTTCAACCACTCTGGAAAGCAGCATGGATGGAGGTTCCTCAAAGATTCCACATAGAGCTCCCCTAGGACCCGACAATCCCACTTTTGGGCATTTACCCAAATGATCACAAACAAGGCCACACGAAAGCTACCAGCACAACTATATTCACTGCAGCATTATTCACCATAGCTAAGATATGGAATCACCCCAGATGCCCCTCAGTAGATGAATGGATCAAGAAAATGTGGTATATATACACAACGGAATTCTGTGCCTCCATCAGAAAGAATGACATTGCCCCATTTGTTAGGAAATGGAAATACTTGGAAAAAAATTATATTAAGTGAAGTAAGCCAGGCCCAAAGAAACACAGATCCCATGGTTTCCCTTATTTGCAATAACTAGTGTTCGTCTGAGTCAAGCAGAATCACTCAGATAAGGTGATGTTAGGGAAATGAACCCTAAGATATGTATTCAAAAGTTTTTTCTTTCATGCAATTGTTTTTTTAACACATTTATAAGATTATTTCTTTGTTGCTTTGTATGTCCCTCCCCCACAGTATAATCCCCGCTTTCACTGTATTTGATGTCGGTATAATGACACGTACAAGTCATAATGCTGAAAAACGAACTTTACAACTTTGGTCAGGCAGGGGACAGGGGAGGATTGAGTAGGGGGGTGGGGGGCGATGGGAAGAGATGAGAAGGGGAAACAAAGGAGGAGGCTACAATGCTTGATAAGAAATGTACTCATTATCTTGCCCATGTAATTGTAACCCCTCTGTACGGTATTTTCACAATAAAAATATTATAAAAAATATAAAAAATTTGCTTTACTAGCAGAGAAATGTTGAAAACTTTCAGGAAATGTTTTTGCCATTTGAAATAATTCTTATAACATAAAGTTTACCTGAAAATAGTTCTCGAGTTCCTTTGAAAGAGCCTGATGGAAGAGGCATTTTTCAGTGGCTTCGATTAAGCGATCATGAAACACTCGGGTGGCTTCGTGAATGAAGAACCTCGCGGCCATCTCTGGGCTGATGATGACATTCTTGTCAGCTTGCAGCAATCCTAGGAGAAGCTGTTAGGGATTTATAAAGGACAGACTCTGAGATATTAGCAGGACTGTGTGTGAAATAAGGGCATACGTTTTGCAGGTTTATGTTCCATAATAGAAGCCCTTGTGAGGTGGCCCTGGCTCCTGCCTGGAATCCTAGCTACTGGGCAGGAAAGTCTACGAGATTCTTAGCTCCAACTAGCCACCAAAAGCTAGAAATGGGGCTGTGGCTGAAGTGGCAGAGTGCTAGCACTGAGCAAAAAAAAGCTCAGGTTCAGAGCCAAGGCCTTGAGTTCAAGCCCCAGGACCAGCAAACACACACACACACACACACACACACACACACACACACACACCACACCACACCACATAGCAGCAATCTGCATTTTGATGACATGGGGGGCTCAGGAGGACCCTGAGAGGAAAGGGCTCAGGGCAGGCAGTGAGCTGGAGGAGGCCGGGCAAGCGCTGCTGTGTTTATACAACGGTGAGCCTGCTAACAAATCTCATAACGCGGCTTAAGGTTGTATGTGCTAGCTGAAGGTGAGCTCTTACAGAAGGAAAGAAGATCCATATTCAAGAGCTGTTTTCACCTTTTCTGCTTGTCCTAGACTTACACTAGTTATTGCAAATAAGGGAAACCATGGGACATATGTTTCTTTGGGCCTGGCTTACTTCACTTAACATAATTTTTTCCAAGTCTCCATTTTCTAACAAATGGGGAGATGCCATTCTTTCTGATGGAGGCATAGGATTCCATTGTGTGTGTGTGTGTGTGTGTGTGTGTGTGTGTGTGTGTGTGTGACATTTTCTTGATCCATTCATCTACTGAGGAGCATCTGTGTTGGTTCCATATCTGGTCAAAAGCTATGTACATATGACCATATAAGATGATGTTAAGTGAAATGAACTCCAAGATAGGGACACAAGTGTTTTTTTTTTTCTTTCTTGCTATTGTTTTTAGTGTATTTAAAATGTACTATGTGAATTTTTTGTTTCTTTTGCATGTTCTTCCCCCACAGTATAACCCCTGCTTTCACTGTATTTGATGTCGGTGCCCTGCTTCTTGTATATACATTTTTTCTAATTTGGGGAGGGGAAGGGAAATAACAAAATGCTGAAATAAGGATACAGGTTGACCCATTGTAACAATGAGATGTACAACACATTATGTTGAAAATGAACTTTACAACTTGGGGGGGGGGGAGTAGGGGGGGGAGTAGTTGTAGAGGTGGCGAGGGAAGGATGATAGGGAAAAACAAAGGAAGGATAACAATACTCAATAGGAAATGTACTCATTATCTTACTCATGTAACTGTAATCCCTCTGTATTTACAATAAAAATATTTAAAAAAGGTTGTTTTCATTAACACTGTCATTTTTTTGGCAGATTAGGGTATTCTACTACTTGAGTCATGCTTCTAGACATGCTGTCTTTGCTGGTTATTGTGTAGATGGAGTCATACAGACTTTTTTTTGACTAGGCTGGCTTTGAACCATGAGACTTTAGATCTCAGCCTCCTGAATAGCTAGAATTATAGGCACAAGACACTGGTGCGGGGAAACACTGCAACTTTGAAAATTACTTAGCCGAAGTTGATGACTCAGTCAGCACGGGTGGTAAAATCTGTGACAGTGTTCATGAGATGTATAATGCTTTGATTTCCTAGTAGGCACAATAAATCTCTAAGACAAAGCAAAATCAAATCTGTGTTAGACCTTGCTATTTCTTTCCTGCTGAGCAGCTCAGACAATTCTAGTAATTTCATTATTGAATTCCTGCTTGAAATTATTCAACCAGTTCTTTTCAACTTACTCATTGGTTTATAGCAAAACTAACCACATGAATTTTACAATTCTGTTTCTAAGAATTTAATTTTGAAAACTCAACCAGGAGGAGGAAGAGGAGAGGTTCAAAGCAGTAAACTTACATGTCAACTTAAAATTTAGAAATAAATCCAGAAAACGAATTTAAAAGCAGACCTTAAACATGTCTCGGAGGTTGAACGTGTAGTGGCATTTTGCTGGCGTTGGTAACATAGTCTTACACACAAAGTAGTACACAGCCAGGGAGCAAGACGCTATCTGCTCCCTACATCTCTGAACGTCAGACACAAAGCCATTGTTGGAGAAATAGATTCCCAAATGAGCCTTTAAAAAAGAAGCACGAAAACTTAGCTAATTAAAACCTATAGACCCTTTCTGACTGCTTCTGTAAAGAAGCAGACCTGTGCACCTCACTGGAAATCCATTTAGAGTATGGCCCTCGTCTGGAGCATGGTCCCCGAATGCTGAGCTGGGGACAGCGTATGCCCCATGTCCACACAATCAGCTGTGCCTGTAACTCTCCCTTCCTTGCTCCCTAGCAGCTGTTATTAGACCTGCAAAGTGATAGAATATGATCTCATTTTGGAACAGTTTTCATTCATGCTTTCTTCTGAAAATTCTAAACATCTTATTGGGAAATGAGTCAACTTGAAATCTAGCAAGGCTAGAAAAATATATCCTGTGCAAAAACTGCTACATTCTTTAAAATATATTGTGAAGAATCTTAAAAAAATTTTTATTGTGAAAATACCGTACAGAGGGGTTACAATTACATGGGCAAGATAATGAGTACATTTCTTATCAAGCATTGTAGCCTCCTCCTTAGTTTCCCCTTCCCATCCCCCCTCTCCTCACCTGCCCCCCGCCCCCCGCCGCCAAAGTTGTAAAGTTCGTTTTACGACATAAGGACTTATACATCTCATTGTTGCAAGGGGTCCACCTGTATCCCTATTTAAATGATTTGTTTTTTCCCTTCCCCTCCACAAATTATACCAACATCAAATACAGTGAAAGCAGGGGTTATACCATGGGGGAGGGACATGTTAGAAACAATCACAAGAAAGAAAAAACATTTGAATCCTTATCTTGGGGTTCATTTCACCTAACATCAACTTATCTGACCTTTTCTGCTTGTTTCAGACATATACTAGTTATTGCAAATAAGGGAAACCATGGGACCTATGTTTCTTTGGGCCTGGCTTACTTCACTTAATATAATCTTATACTTTATTCTTTATAAAATTTAAAGATACATTTAAAATATATTTTTCAAAATACCCTTGAAAATTCTGATGCTAATGGTCACAGGGTCCACATCTAAAAAATAATCTGTCTTAGAAGAAAGTATCCAAACATACACTAGTCCAGCTTGATGGTCATAATTCTCATTTATATATATTTATATATATATATATGAAAATGAAAAGAACAAAATTCAACTACTTTAAGGCATGCGCAGATTCCCCAGTTCAGACTCAGATATGCTGGGCCCCAAATCTCTAAGAATGAAATCCTGGCATTTGTCTTTTAAATATACATTGAACATTCATCAATTGTGTTACTTATGCACATTAAATTATATTTAGATATATTAGAACAAGAGGAAGGAAGGGAGGGAGGAAGGGAGGAAAGCAGAAACGAAATGGCTAGATGCTCTTACCTGGAAAATCGTCAGTAAGGCATTTTGTGGGGGGTGAGGCAGCACCAGCGTGGTGAAGTGTTTGAGGAGGCGTGGACTAATGTCACGCCGACCAGATGCAGGGACACAGGAAGCAATTATGGAAAGATCTTGAATAGTCTGTGCGAAAAGCAAAACAGACAATAGCTAATGCATCTGAAGGAAATGAAATTTACTTGAGCAAATGGATTTAGATGACTATTTACTTGAAATGCTAGTAGAAATCTATGTTTTCACCATTGGACCCCTCTCCTGAATCTACCATACTTTAGTCAACACATTTGTATCTATGTGCATATGACCTTGCATGTAGTTACACACATATTTATAACTTCCACATATGAGAGAATACATTCCATTTCTGTAACTCCTTGGAACAACTAACTTACAGTTTAACAAAAAGAATACCAGGAAGCTGGGTCATGTGTTCTGGGAGGGGTAAGGTCAAGGGAAGGGGAGCAGAGAAATGGAGAGCAGAAGGACCGAACACAGTCATAATATATATAAGTGTGGGAAGTAGTGGGTTGGGAGGGGCTGGTGAGAATGTTGAAAGGGATGACATTCATCAAGATGTACTGTATTCATAAACTGTTTCAGTGAATGGCAAGGAGGAGGAGGAGGAGGAGGAGGAGGAGGAGGACGAGGACGAGGAGGACGAGGAGGAGGACGAGGAGGAGGAGGAGGAGGAGGAGGAGGAGGAGGAGATGACAAAGAAGAAGAAAGCAATTGCTGGTCAGTGGCCAGTGGCTCATGTATTCAATCTTAGCTACTTGGGAGGCTCAAATCTGAGGATCAGCAAAATTGAGAAGTTTCTAAGGCAGACAATCTGAGAGCTAGAAATGTGGCTCAAGTGGTAGAGCACCACTTGTGAGTGGAATCTGAGACCATGAGGGATTGAGTTCAAGCCCCAGAACTGCCCCCACTCCCAAAGCAACCACTTGGAACTAATAACTACTAGAAGAAAGCATGGGATCATGTTTCATGATATTGGTGTGAGATTTATGGTATAAAATTTCAAAAACACAGGTAACAAAAACAAAGAGATAAATGGGCTTCATCACAGCAAAAAGCTTTTGTACAATCAGTTAAAATAGTGAACAGACTATGAAATCAGAGAAAATATGTATAAATGATGGCTCTAACAAGAGCTAATATCCAGCATATATTAGGAACTTAAACAGCTCAACAGAAATTTCCAATAATCCAATAAAATAGGCAAAGTATTTTAACGAAAGATAATGTAAAACGGCATCAGTTATGTGAAAAAATGATCTATGCATCAACAGGAAATATGCAAATAGAAACTACCGTAAGATATTATCTCACCAAGTTAGAATAGCTACTATCAAAGAGGCAGAAAATAACATTGTCAGCGTGGCTGTGGGGAGAAGGATGACTCTCATATGCTACGGCTGGACATAAATTAGTCTAGCCACCATGAAAAAAGCACAGAAGTCCCTCTGAAAGCTAAAACTAGAATCATCACATGGTCACGCAATCTATTGAAAACATGTATTAAAAAAATGAAATTAGCCAGGTGCTGGTGGCTCATGCCTGTAATCCTAGCTACTCAGGAGCCTTTGATCTGGGTATTACAGTTCAAAGCTAACTGGGGAAGGAAAGTCCATGAGACCCTTATCTCCAATAAACCATCAGAAAACTGGAAGTGGCGCTGTGGCTCAAGTGGTAGAGCACTAGCCTTCGCTGAAGAGCTGAGGGACAGCGCCCAAGCCCAGAGGTCAAGCCCTACAACTGACAAAATAAACCACCCTGAAATTAGTATGTCAAAAAGGTACTCATACATAGCACTGCTCACTCTAGCAAAGATATGGAATCAAACAATATGTGCATTAGTGGATGGGTGGATGAAGGAAATGTGGTAGATAAATGAATACTGTTTAATCTAATAGGACGCCTTGCCATTTGCAGCAGCATGGATTAATGCTGAGTGAACAGGCACGGCCAAACATCCCAGGATCTCACCCAGTTGTGCTGTCTAAAGAGCTGGTCGCACAGAGGCGAGGAGCGAGTGTGGAATGGTTGGACCACAGGCATCAAGTACAGATTTGTGCAGTAGGGCAACTATATTGAACAACCATCTGTGGAACATTCAAAAGAGCTAGATGATTTTGAATGTTCTCATGACGAATGTGAAGATACCTTAATTCCTCAAATATGACTGCCACACACTGCGTATCTGCATTCTATATATGTCTCACCCAACATCTGTGTACAATGATTGTCTATAAATGAAGGAATAAAAATGCAATAATTGGAAATAGGACATATTCTTTTTCTTTCAAATTCTTAAACCTTATTCACTTTGTTTAATGTAACAAAAATTGCTGCACAGGAGTCTCTTGGATTTTTTTTTGACTGTAATATCTCTAGAAATGCTTGATGTATGTTCTTTGCTGTAGACATCTGAAGTCTTTTGTAAGTTTGTTAGCATATGTGCATTGTGCTGTGGGGTTTCATTATGATGTTTATGCCATGAGTGTATAATGTGTCTTCCACAGACATTTAGGAGGCACTGGGCAGGCCTTCGCTTCACTGGCCTTCCTCAGCTGAGCTAACTGTTAAGACATAAACATTCTGATTAGTCATGATTCTGTCAACAGTAGTGAGCATCACTAGACTCGAAATGAAACTTTTAGGACACTCTTCTCGCATCTTCATTAAGATCTGGACCTACCACAACTAGACTTTTTTTTTTTTTGTTGGTCATGGGGCTGGGTACTGGGCCTGGGTGCTGTCCCTCAGCTCTTCAACTCAATGCTAGAGCTCTACCCCTTGAGCCACAGCGCCACTTCCTATTTTCTGAGTGGTTTATTGGAGATAAGATTCATGTCCTTTCCTGCCTGGGCTGGATCTGAACTGCCACCCTCAGATCTCAGCCTCCTGAGTAGCTAGGATTGCAGGCGTGAGCCACGGGTCCCAGTTGCAACTAGACTTTCTATGAACCCTTCCATCTATGTTAAACTGGAGATAAACTTGATATGATCAGCTCAGGGTCTCAACAAGTCCATATGGTTAGACTTTCAAGATTTCACTCAATATTAGTATAAACAGGGGGACGGGGGGAGGATGGGAAGGGATGGGAAGGGGAAACAAAGGAGGAAGCTACAATGCTTGATAGGAAATGTACACATTATCTTGCCCATGTAATTGTAACCCCTCTGTACAGTATTTTCACAATAAAAAAGAAAAAAAATATTAGTATAAACACTGAATTTATAGCAGGTATCGACATCTGACGTGAGCACTGTACCTTCCACGTGTTCTGCTCGGTATCGTAAACCCCTCCCATATCCAACAGCTGTCTGATCAGCTCCAGGGCCGGCTGCGCCCTCCCGCCTGGGTCTGATGCTGGCGTGTTCATGTCATCAATAAATACTACAACCTTGAGAAAGACATCGTGCTTCAAGACACAGTCATTCTTTAAATATGAAGTACAAATATTAAGTTATGCTATAGTTCAAGAACAAACATAAAAATGAAATATCTTTTTCTATTAAAAAACAGATCAAATTGTATTTTGAAGATATGATTTTTAGAAAACAAGTGTTCAAAATGGCAAAAATTCTACCCACCCTTTCTAGGTCTGTAGTAGTTAGGCCTGACAATATGTTTCCTTTACAAATATAATAAATTTCAAGAAGGAGTGTACCATTTATTAAGCCTTTATTATTGAGCACATACTATTGGCAGGTGTGTAGATGTTTAAGCTGTGCATTTTCCATGCACCCTGGCTTGATGATAGAAGCATCATCTAGAGCTAGATTTTACATCTGTTGCAAGTGGTGTCATGAACACATAGCAGAAAACTCAGGCACATTTCCATGTTTAAAAGTGCTACTTTTCAAATTACAAAATAGCTATTTTACTTTAACCACCTAATTACCCAATCTTTAACAATCAATACCAGTTTTTAGTAAGACACTCAGTTTCCCTGTCTTGTATCACAAATGGACATGAATATTTCTTGCTTACACTTTCTAGTTGTGTGATGAGGTTGCATCCTTATTAGCCTTTTCAAAATCCCTAAAATTTACCCATGTATCAAGTTTATAGAAGTTAAAATCAAAGTAGTCTGAGGCCCATGCACAGAGCCCTGAAGTGGATAGTTACAGGGTTAAAAGCACAGGGCTCCTCAGGGACTGTGTGTTTTTCTTATTCGTGAGCCTTGCAAGTCTTTCATCCTGACCAATTTCACATGCTGCAGAGAATTTGGTTAAACTAATGGACAGTTAATCCTGTTCTAACTGACCAAACATAAGTAGAAGAGACATCAGGTCTTTGTGTGGCTCCCTGGGCCCCTGGAGGGCTCCCGAGCCTATTCCTTGGGGATGACACGATTCCAGGCCATGAAGAGAAAACCTCACAGAATGCACATTAACAAAGCAATAGCATGCAATGTCATTTGCAGATTTCAAACTCAAGTTTACACTTCTTCACTCAGATTTCAGTGGCTTCTGGTTTTAGTTTATCTGCCAAATAACCTGCATGCTAGAAATGGAATTGTATTGATTTGAAAACCACAGTGTCTGTTCTAAAATGCTCTCCTGGGAATGTCCAGTGACAAACATTCAGGAAAAGAAAATCACTTTGTCACTCTCGCAGAACCACAGATGCCGACCAGGGGCGGGCACGTACCTTGTTGTTCTTAGGGGCTCCGAGGGTATCTTTCTTTCTTCTTACTAATTTCTTAAGAATCATCTCCTTGATTTTGGTGGCTGTGAGACTGCCGCTGAAGTTTATTGTGGTTGCTGTAATTCCTTTAAGTGAACTGTCATCAGGGCTACCTTCGAGCTTCTTAGTGGTAGCATCTATGTCAACTATGAAAAGGAAACAAATTTAGAACATCTGGTATTTTTGCTTTATTTTTGGGTGTTAAGAAATTTGGGAATGATGTAATTTTGCTATGCTGTTGTCCTTTTTAAGAAATTACTCTGAAAGAAGGCTGACTTTAGAACACTCAGCACTGATTTTGGAGGCAAAGTTTTGAGCCACAGCCACGTGCAGCAGTGGGAAAGCTCAGCAGACACTCTTCCCATCTGTGCATGTCAGACACACAGAACTTAGACCCCAAAGCAGCACGCAGCGGCTGTGCCAAGGAAACCCAGACAGAGTGCATTCCCTGAGCGAGACCCACACTTCAACACACAGATGCCTCTGGCACGTCTTCCGGCTGCCTTTCCCATTGCCCTTCCCCAGCTTCCCGCTGCCACGCCTTCCTTCCTGGGAAGAACAGCTGTTACTCCTGAGATCCCATCTAATGTTCCTGTCTTATGGCCAGATTTGAGGACTACAGAATCATAACTTTTGCCTGTGCCAAATCTAAGTGAGTGAAAGAGAAGCAGATTGTTGGCAGGTGTGAGCTGGATGTCAGGTTTTGATGGTAGCCTCTGCTTTCTGAGTGGCCTCAGGTGCTTTGGGAGGTACTGGATACATTTACCAAGTACGGTTTTCCCTCTGAGTGGCTTGTGTATGGCTGTGTGGCTGCACCATGATCCCGGAATGGTTGTTAAGCGGCACTATCACATGTACCTGGGCTTCCGCCCTCCTTCTTGTGAGTCTTGGAGATCAGGATGCTGAGATTTTGCTTTAGACTATTGGAATCAAATGATTTAAGGATCCAAAGTTAGTTGATTGCCACCGTAGTTGTAGTAAGAAAAAAATAGTAACCATAACAGCATATAGCTTATTTTGTTTCCATCTCCCACAAAAAGCCTTATTTTTCTCTATTTACATTTTTAGAGATAAAATCAGTATCACTATTATAATTGATATTCAAATTTAATAAAATATTGGATTAAATTGAAAAAAACCCAGGACACTCACAACATACCAGTTATTGGACATTTTCTAAGGTTAATTAAGCCATCATTTCCTTGGGCCTTTATAAAATGCATTTTGCTCTACAGATCAAACACCAAAAGACTCATTTACCTAACACTAGGGGGTTTATTTTACAGTAAAGTTTTTGTGTTGGATTGAAAAGAATTGTCTTTCTCTGTTGTCAAAATCCATTTAAAATGTTAAGTGTACATATTTTTATCAGATCCCCAATTATTTGTGCTAGCAATGTATCCTACTGTATTAGCTTCAGAAATAATTTCCACTTTAAAAAGGAGGTATCTAAGTGAAGTAGGCATCAGCGGGGAGGGGAGCAGGGTCACAGGGGCTTTGACACAGACTGGAGAAGATGGGAAATGAGCCCTGAGCCCCAGGCCCCAGTATGGAGTCTCATTTGCCGGAATGAAAGCCATGGGTGACGGGGCCTCGAAGGGATGTAAAGTCAGGTTTTGGAGGTGTTAAGGTCAATGCACATGAGATGTCCAAGCCCAGTGACATGGAATACAAGGCTATCATCTAGAGCAGGGCTTCTTGTTCAATCCAAACAACAACTGTTTTCTCTAATACATCAACAGAACTTGTAGTAACTTGTAGTAACACTTTTTGCTTGTACAACTTATAATTTTTCTTTTTTCCCCCAGCAAGAGGTAGGAAATTCCCTGCATTTTTATGTTTGATAAGTAGATCTTTTTTTCTAGTGCAACAATAGTATGAAAAACTTGATTTGTACAGCTTAATTGCTTTATTCTAGGAGGAAAAAGTTTACACCTGTATTTCTTTTTCCTTCTCATTGTCTTTCTCTCTTTCTGCCTTTCCTTTTCCTTCCTTTGCTTCCTTCCCTCCCTTCCTTCCTCTCTCCGTCTTTCCCTCCCCTCCCTCCCTGCATTCCTCCCTCCCTATTTCCTTTTCTCTCTCTTTCTCCTTTCCCCCTCTCTTTCTTCTTTCCTTCCTTTCTGTTTTGTGCTGGTATCGGTGCTTGAACTCAGGGCCTGACATTAGTGCTTGGCTCTTTTGCTCAAGGCTGCTGCTCTACCACTTGAGCCACACTTCTGCTTTTGGCTGTTTTTTTTTTTTTCTGGCTAAGTGGAGTTAAGAGTCTCTCAGACTTTTCTGCCTGGGCTGGCTTTGAGCTGTAATCCTCAGATCTCAGCTTCCTGTGTAGCTAGGATTACAGACGTGAGCCACCAGCGCCACGCTTGCAGCTGTATTTCATGCTATATAATAATTGAGATTTAAAATTTTGCTATATTAAAAATAAATGTAAGAATTTCTGACTCAGAGGAATGAATCTCATTGCTAGTAGTTTGGAAAAATAACTATTTTCTTTTAAACAGAAAATCTGGGTAAACGAATGAAAAGCAAGGAGGTGAGGTTAGTAGTTAAAACCCTCCTGCCAAAGAAGGGCCCAGAACAGCATGGCTCCATAATGAATTCTACCAGTCATTTAAGGAAGAGCTGACAGACTGGCTTCCTAATGAATTCTGCCAATCACTGAAGGAAGAACAGGCACCAAACCTCTCACATGTTAACAATGAGTGAGGTGGAAGGAATACTTCCAAACTCAATTCACAACAGTAGCATCTTCATGACATCAAAGCCCAAAAATAACACTACAAGAAAAGAAAATTTTAGGACAGTATCTTAGATAAACACAGAGGCAAAAATCATCAATGAAAGGTTAACAAAACTGAATTCAAAAGAACATTAAAAGGATAATTCACCATGATCAAGTGGTTCAACATACAGGGTTCAACACACAAAAATAATGAATGTGATACATCACATCAGTAGAGAGAGGGGCAAAGGCTATGTGAAAAAGCATGCCACAAAAGTTAACATATTCCATTATAACAAAACCTTTACAACATTAGGAAGAGATGTGCCTCAACCTAAAAACCACATGCAAATCCACAGCCAGCCTCCCACTCAGAGTTCTTCCTGTGTGGCCAGGGCACCAGCTACTTCCTTGTAAGTTAGTGCTAGATGTCTCCATCAGAACAACCAGGAAAGAAAAGAAACAAAGGCATATGAAGAGGAAAGGAAGAGGTGAGATTATTTATGCTGATGGTATCATTTTATTTGCACCAATAATCAGAACTGATAAATGAATTTAATAAAGTTGTAGGATTTAAAATCAAAATACAAAAACCAGTTCAGTTTCTATATGCTAACAGCAAACTATCTGAAAAAAGAAAAGCTATCTCCTTCACACTATCACTAGAAAATAATTCAGATACCGTACATCTCAGAACTCAGAGGCTGAGGCAGGAGGGCTCCCAGGCTAGGCTGGCCTGGGTTACAAAGACAGACTGTCTCAAAAAAACAAAAACAAAACAAAACTCCAAGGATTGGTAGCTTAGTGGTAGATCGTTTGCCTAATATGGGCAAGGAACAGGGTTCAGTACCTATGACTGAAAAGACATTTAGGAGTAAATTTAATCAGGAGATGAAAAATCTACATATTAAAACTATAAAGCACTAACGGGAGAAACGGAGGAAAACACAAATAGATGGAAAACCCTGCCCTGTGTTCACAGACTAGAAGAAATAGTTCTGTTACTTCATCCATCCTATCCTAGCAAAATTCCAGTGCTACTTTTCATTTTTCCTTTGGAACACAAACAACTCCAAATAGCCAAAGCAATTCTGAACAGAAAGAACAAAGGCAACATAGCATGTGGCTTCAAAATATACTGCAAGTCAAAAGTACTGACAATAACATGGAACTGGCGTGACAATAGAGAAATCAACCAGGCATGGAAAAGTAAATACTTCATAATCTTCATCATATTACTAATTGAGAAACGCCGAGTGAAGAGATGCTGACAAGAAGATGTCCTTGTCAGGAGCTGGTGGCAGGGTAGCTAGCAATGGGGAGATGCTCATCTCACACCAGCTTCAATTCCATAGAAGGAATGAGATTTCATGGTCTACTGTACAGCGTGGAGGTCATAGTAATTAATAATGTGTATCTAAAAGCTGCTAAAGGAGTAAATTTTAAGTGTTTTCATTAAAATAAATGTCAAGTGTATGGGGCAAAGGATGTTAAATAGCTAACAGCTGTTTCCCAACTATATTGTAGTCAAAATAGATAACACTTAATGTCTGTCAAACATGGACAGTTGAGAATAGTAAAAAATTATTTCATTTGAGTAATTTTTCATTTTTGGATAACAGATTTACTTTAAAACAAGGTACACATATATTAAGGCAAACATTTTATCAGACAAATAACATTTGGAGTTTAATATATACAACCTTGACTTTTTAATTTCATTATGTAATAGGACATCTCCTAAGATTGACCCATATTTGATATCCAGTGCTCCTGGGGCTTCTAACTTCTCAAGCATTTGGTTAATGGTCGCCGTTTTCCCAACACCAGACTCGCCTAGGAGGAAACACACGTTAGCACACTGAGGTGAAGCAATAGCACTCTCCTTCCTTTGAAATTTGTACAGCCCTCCCCTACTACTGGAGGCTGGACTCAGGGCTTTACACTCCTGTTCAGTGTGCTTGTGCATGGTTGCCATGTTATCACTTGATCCACGCCTCCAACACAGCTTTTTGTTGGTTAATTGGAGACAGAGTCTCATGGACTTTTCTGCCTGGGCTGGTTTTAAACTGTGATCCTTTTTTTCTTCTTTCTTCTCTCTTCTTTTTTTTTTTTAAATTAAAGCAGAAGAAGCTAATTTAAGTGGTTAATATGAACCTTTCTCAATCTGTTTGATTTACATCCTTTATTAGAAGTAGATTAAGAGCTAATCATTATTTCTATTGCAAATATTTTTGCTTGTAGCATACTACAAGAGATACTACTTGTAGAGATACTACAAGAAACAAAATCTCCATTTGTTGGGAGCCGACTGTAAAGTTTAAAGGTCATCTTGACCCTGATGCTCACTTGAAGGCACGTACAAGGAGCTGGCTTTCTTGAAAAACACCAGGTGCCCGGGATTGCTTTGCTATGTCTGCAGAGTTTGTTTTACTTTCTACCAGTTGACCTTGTCCTGTTTTTACTGCACTCTGTTTTTACTGAAATTTTCCTTGTTTTTCTGGACTACTGTAACCTTATGTTACCTCTTGACTTCTAATAGTATACATTAGGGAAAGTTAAAAATGAACGGGGCTGCAGTCTTGAGCTGCAGACCTCCCGAACCCATCCTTGTCTTATGTCTTTATTTTTCCGCATCCTCGCCCCCTAATTCAGGATTCCCTTTCGTTGCCAGCAGGCTCCGGCATCCATTAATTCGTGTGTGTGTGTGTGGCAGTCTTGCTATGAAACACAGACAGGTTTCAAACTCATGATCTTTCGTTTCAAAACTTCTCAAGGGCTGGGACTACAGCTGTGTGCCAGCATTACTAGCTCTTTGAAAATATTCTACCAGCACAGTCTGCGGGAGAAATTTAGTGATACATTTCTTTACTTTTTGGTAGTACTGGGATTTGAACTTGAGGGCTCATGCTTGCTAGGCAGGGGTTCTAGCACTAAAGCCATGGGCTGGCCATGACTTTCTTTCTGAAGCAGAAAGGGACCTGTGACTTCACATTCCACTAAGAAGTACAGTAGAAACAGTGATTGGCACGCTACGGATTTTCAGAGTTACACTGCCAAGTGTTTGTTTTTGTTTTTGTTTTTTGGTCAGTTGTGGGGCTTGAACTCTGGGCCTGGGCGCTGTCCCTCAGCTCTTCAGTTCAAGGCAAGTGCTCTACCACTTGAGCCACAGCGCCACTTCTGGTTTTCTGGTGGTTTATTGGAGATAAGAGCCTCATAGACTTTCCTGCACTGGATGGCTTTGAACTTTGAACTCAGACCTCAGCCTCCTGAGTAGCTAGGATTTCAGGTGTGAGCCACTGGTGCCCGGCTTACTGCCATGTTTTTGAAGGTAGAAATAAAAATGTCACTCAATTTGCCTCTGTTGATACACAAGTTAGAGGATTGGTAAAGGTAACTGGTAAGTTCAAATAAATGTTTAGAGTAGGAGTTACACCAAATTACCCTTTAGTGACAGTAGAGGCTGAAAATATTTGTGTAATAATGTTTAATTAAACCAATTGGGACTTGAAAGCCCATTGTCTATTGAGGTCAACCCAATGTTTTATAATACTTCTAATTCTAGAATTAGTCCTGGGGGCAATGACAATATAGAAAGATTTATAATGCCCAAGCTACACATGGAGGCTCAGGGTTGTAATTCTCAAACTCAGGAGACAGAGGCAATAGGACTACACAGAGAGTTCTAGATCAGCTCTTATTGTAGTGTCCATACTGGAATGTGGGTGTTCCTGAACTGCTGTGTGTCTGTCATGTACTGGAATGTGGGTGTTCATGAACTGCTGTGTGTCTGTCCTGTACTGGCGTAGTCTTGGTTAGAACAGAAATCAATATAAACTGCCAAACCCTCTCAAGGGCCTGTTCATTCACCCACTTCAAAACTGCAAAGAATAAGTCATCTTCAGACCTCTTCTTACCTCTGACAGGGTTTCAGTTACACATTTGTCTTACCTACGAGCAGCACCGGGCTGGAGCTCCTCAGGAGCAGGCTCATGAGGAACGTGAGGCAGGACATGACAGGGTTTCAGTTACACATTCGTCTCACCTACGAGCAGCACCGGGCTGGAGCTCCTCAGAGCAGGCTCATGAGGAAGGTGAGGCAGGACATGACAGGGTTTCAGTTACACATTCGTCTCACCTACGAGCAGCACGGGGCTGGAGCTCCGCAGGAGCAGGCTCATGAGGAAGGTGAGGCAGGTGGTGTCCCTGGTGGCGGTGTGGGTAATCCACCCTCCGTACTCCATCAGGATGTTCTCGCTGGCTCCTTGGAGGTCACTCAGCAGTGATGTTCCTAAGTTCAAAAACCTTTCAAGTTTCCTAGAAGGAAATGCTAATCTAGTCTTTTAGGTACTAGACGCTTTTTGATTCCATTTAATAGTAAGCTTTTCACTCATGCTACACAAATGGACTTTGCTATTACAAATAAATTAGATTTATGCAATATTCATAGCGTTTCACATATGAATGGAATCACTTCTTGTAAGTAGAATTGTGGTCAACATAAATTATAAACTGTACACTTTATAAACACAGGGCCTCACATTTGTTAAGCCTGTTTCTTCTCTTGGCAGGTGTTCTACCAGTTGCGCCGTACTGCGAACTGTGTGCCATTCGCTGGTTATTTTGGAGATGGAAACCAGTGAACTTCTCTGCCTGGGCTGGCTTCAGTCATGACCTGATTCCAGCCTCCTCAGGCGCGGCACAGTGTGAGCCACGGGCATCTGGCCTATGATTTTGATGGACACTGATAAATTGCTGCCAATACTGGAGTCTTTATACCTTCCCAAAGTAACCAAGGTTAAAGGTGAAAAAAAAAAAGAATCTCTATTAGTGTCTCTGCACCTATTAACTTATTAACCTAGTCCACATTTACTAGGGGGAACAGCACATTGGCCTAAAGATTGTGTGTGTGAGAGAGAGAGAGACGGG